GAAATAATACCTGAAGTAAGCAACAAAAAATAAGCGGCATAAACCGAAGGTTTTTACAACGCTTGCAACTGTAGCTCTCTGCTTTATCTGTCCGAATTTTCTCAAGCAGACAGCTACAGTTCTGCAGCTACTTTTAACCTAGATGCCTCTGACATTACTGTAGCTCTACTGGTTTTTAATGAACAAAAGTAGAGAGAGGTAGTAACTAAAAACTATGGCAACAGTAAAAATTAAAACAATGATTCTTATTAATTACTGTATCTCCATATTTCAATCAATAATAAAATTATAGCTATTATTATATAAAAACATGTCATTTGACAAATTTTAAGCAAATATGGAAAATATGTATTTAAACAAGAGGCCCATGGGCCACATCGCTCACCTGAGCACTGTGGCTAGGAAAAAGTAGAAATTAGTTTATTATTGAAAAGTTTAAATCCAAAAGTAGTCCCATGACCAATCATGGCTTTGCGATTCTCGAGAATGATTTATAAAAGAATTTTCCTATATATTTCTATGTAAAACTTTGGTCGGCCATTGTGGCCCCGCCCTACCCCCCTGGGTCATGATTTGAATCTACACTACCTGAGGATGCTTCCATAAAAATATGATCAATTATGGCTTTGCTATTCTTGAGAAGAAGATTTTTAAAGAATTTTCCTATATATTTCTATGTAAAACTTTGGTCGGCCATCGTGGCCCCACCCTACCCCTGGGGGTCATGATTTGAACTTGAATCTACACTACCTGAGGATGTTTTCCCATAATTTTCATCTTTCCTGGCACAGTGGTTCTTGAGAAGAAGATTTTTTAAGCATATCACCAAATTTTTATTAATTCCCAATTATCTCCCCTTGAATGAGGGTGTGGCCCTTGATTTGAACAAACTTGAATCCCCTTTACCCAAGGATGCTTTGTGGCAAGTTTGGTTGAAACTGGCCCAGGTGGTTCTTGAGAAGAAGTCGAAAATGTGAAAAGTTTACAGACAGACAGACGGATGCCGGACAAAATGTGATCAGAAAAGATCACTTGAGCCTTCGGCTCAGGTCAGCTAAAAATGGAGATCATGAATACCAGATAATTCAAAAGTCCATTGAAGCAATACAAATTCAGAGCAGAGCAAACGTGGATCTCTGAAACCATCAGAGGTGGGATCAGGTGCCATGGAAGAGTAAACACCCCATTTTGACTGGTCACAGCTGTCATCATAATGTTCCCTGTCATTATTGAAACAGGAAACAGATAGAAAAAAAAAATTAATGATAAAGATAAACCAGTAGTATTAAAACCTGCACACAATGCACTAAAACATAGATGTACCTTATTAATTTTTCATATCAAAAATTATCTTTGTCTCCTGTACTTCAGACTTATTTTTAAACTGGCGGTGGCATCATGCTTTTTATCAACATTTGTCAACTCCATGATAATCTCATCTTAAAGATTTATGGACATTTCCCAGAAAACTGGATGTAAAGTTTGTGTATTTAACAATTATAGAACAGACTGATGTTAAATGGTTTTTGAAATATTCATGTTTATTGCATTACATCTTGGGGAGCAGTAATTACAGATGTTGAAATATTGAGTGGTATGACAATTAAACTATCAAAGCTTCTCCAGATAAAACATCACTCAAATGTAGTTCACAAACATTCTAGGGATTATTATACTTATAAAGGCTTTGTTGGGGTACTATAAGAATCAATTTCTTGTACTTTAAATTACATTAAATTTGAAGTTTGTTTATCTTTGTGGACAACAGATGTAGAATGCATAATGTATCTTTATAGCCTGTAATCTCATTCACACACCAGAGTAGATGATTTAAAATTTGATTTTCTTCCAAAATGGAAATTTATAAGTATTTTTGAATCCCTTCTCTAAGTATACATATTTTAAGGACCCAATCTTTGCACATAAATATCTTTCTTATGATTCCTTTTAAAGATTATTATTTGGGAGTGATTGCACAATGGATGGTTCACTTAAATTCTCCAAAAAACATGATTACTTTAAATTTTCCTTTTTATATCGGTAACTATTAGAACTAGGGATGACAATGAGTTTGCCATTAATTGACTATCATAGTGATCAATGATTAAAACCTATGAAATCCTTACCAATAAATCTAAATATCCTTGTATCCCAATATATACCATGAAAAGGAGGAAGAGGAGGAGGATAAAAGTTTAATTAAGGTCTACATATCTAAGAATTGAACTCATCAAAATGCAAAACATGTATTTGTATAACTTTTTGTGTCTTGTGGCAACGCACTTTGGAAAAATTACGCCCTTTAAAAAAAATTTTTAAAAGTGCGTTAAAATTGGGACAAAATCAACGCACTTTGAAATTTTTTTTCAAAGTGTGTTAAATTTGGGACATACTCAACACACTTTGAAAAATTTTTTCAAAGTGCGTTAAGAGTTTACATCAATATATTTTACCATGTATACACTTAACGCACTTTGAAAAAAATATGTAAAAACAAAAATTCTAGTTTTAGATTTTAGTAATGGAAAGATTCTATGTCAGTGTTATTTATCTTTCAGTAAACCTAGGAATTGATTTACTACTGTCGAGAAGAGGAGAAGACGGGTAGATCTCTCAGATTCACTCTTTCTCTTTCAATACAAAGGCGTCGGTAACAAATAAAACAGGGGAGGGGAGTAATAACCCCAAAAAAGGGTAAGCCACATTTTCAATGCCTATATGATGTATATCTTCCCAAAATAAGTGGGGAGGGGGAGGGATAAGCCCCCCTCCCCTTGCCCTTCGCCGGTTATGATGCCTATGCTATACCCAAACAATAGATATGTATTTACATCACCGGTATGACGTTGAAAATTATCAATAATTGAATTAACTTAAAACAATTGAAAACTAGAATTTTATAAGTACAGTAAAACATATGAGAGAGAAAGAATTTTCATGGTCTTGGAAAATCAAATTGCCCCTTTTTCTTAAGATGAATGCTATTTTTTAAGTTGTTCACTTTTAGTCCCCTCCCCCCTACATCTACTAATTACAGACTAGAAAATGAAAAAAAAAGAAATAATGATATTAAACAATCATCTCTCTATTTCCCTTTTACAATATTTATCAAAACCTAAAATATTCAAATCGTCAATTTCTCAGGTCCTGAAGTGACCTTATCACCAAAACGTTATCCAACCAGGGTCAATTATTTATTATGCCGATTATTTGTAAACACTGAGTACATTGATCAAGCTTTACATTTTTTTTCAAAGTGCGTTATATGGTCAATATTAATGCACTTTGAAAAGAAATTTAATTTTTTTTCAAAGTGCGTTAATTTGGTCCCAAATTTAAAGCATTTTGAAAAAAATTTTCAAAGAGCGTAATTTTTCAAAGTGCATTGTAACAGTGCCTGATTCCCTACATTGAGCACTATAAAAGAACCAACCCCCAACCCCAAAAAGTACTACATGAATAAAGTCAGGTTTTCATCTCATTCCAAACTTACTTTTTACTTGGAAAAAGTTCCACTTTTTGAAAAATAAGTAAACTTATAAAAAATTATAAACTTTATTTTCTGCCAAAAAAGTAAACACATGCATGACTATTGTCCAATGAACAGATAAATAATCAGTGTTGGAAGCATATTGCATGGAGGCAGACTTTAATTGGTGTGTATTTAGTGGGAGATAAAAGGGAAAATAAAACATGCTAGCTCAGAGTGAAAAAAGAAATCCGGAATTACATGATTAGTAAATAAAGCAATATGTTGAATCAAGCCACTTTTTTTTTCTTAGGCCAAGACAAACACTTGGGTAATATTGGAGTTTAATTTTTGTGCTGTATATCTCGGGGGTTAAGTCCACACGATGGAGACATCTGTAACTGTTTACTCTGGATAAGGCTGTCGGAGTTTGATGACTAAATTTGTAAAATATGTGGTTTCCATGGAAACACGCTGATTATTGGAAATATTTGTACCAAAGAAATTGTCACCCACTTTTGCAATTTATATGTGTATAGTTAATTAAAAGTGAGTAGCAGCAAACCTACCAGCAATGGCAAAATCTGATTCATTATTTTCTTAAATCTTTACTACAGTGGACATTATATACAGTGTAATTCTGTATGAAGACTATTCAGAATTATTGAGACATAATTCTTTCTCGTGAATGCCTCTTAGTGAAAATGGGCATATATCCATTTGACAAATGCTAAGAATTAATAAAAGCAACTTCAAGCAAAAAATATTTACAATTACTATACCTTTAACTATTGTTTCCTACATAATTCTATTCAAAAGTCTGACATTTCCAGAGTGTTACTGAGTAGTCATATAAAAAAAATGATGTTTGACTGAAAAGTGAGATGTTGGACCTGTTGGTGAGATAATGGACCGCTTCCAGTCACAGTGTGGGTGGGGTCAGATACATCTTTTTTTTCTGCATTCATTAGAGTTCAATGGCTAGAACTTAACCAAATTCACCAAGTTGAAACTGCAGAATTACATCATGATATGTCAAAATAAAAAGTGAGACTCTGAAATATTGAAGGGGGCCAGGCCCTTCAAATAGACAACTTACAATTCTCTTTACCAAATAATACTTTGGTAATTTTGGTTAAAAATGACCCAGTGGTTATTGAGAAGTTTTGAAAAAATTATAGACTGATAGATGGATGGACCCTGGACAACTGGTGATCAGACAAAAGTTTTCAGCCCAGCTGAGTCAGTCATCTTTATTTTTTTGAGATGGACTTGCACATGGTTTTAGTGTATCAACACATATAAAACAAAATTCAGATAGCAATTTCTTTTATCCACCTGAAAGTATCTGAATCCAAATAATGACCCCAATGTTAAAGGTTTTTCTCTGATGGGAATTGAACCACTGATCCCTGGTACAAAAGTTTTAATGTTTAACCTACTAGCCAGCAAAGAAACATCTAACACTGTCATATACTCAGGAGTGATTAACTTAATAGAATAATTAAGCAGACTGTACTGACAAACTTACCCCTTATCCTCTTCTTGGTTTTCCTTCTTCAGTAGAAGCCTCTTCTCTTCAATATCAATGTTTTGTCTGTTAATGGTGCCATTTCTTCAATGAAAATAAAAAACACTTTCAGTAGTGGTATAACATCTAGCATCATTGCTAATATGTACATGTATAGTGGGTCTATTGGCATACAGGCATGTAGCTGCCTGTATATGCAAATACGCAAGTGTGTAAACATCATTTTCCAAAAAAAAAAAAAAACAAACAAACAATGAAGGATTGATTGTATATATTTCAAGTCCCTCTTGAGAATTTTTCACTCATATGGAGATGCCACCACTTGCCGGTGAAGAGCTGCAAATTTTGTCCTATACTCGACCCTCAGGGCCATTGAGCAGTGAGAGATCTTTTTCGTGCTAGCACCTACTGCAACACGGGACCTCGGTTTATACAGTCTCCTCCAAAAGACTGGTCTCCACCTCCCACAGTGACACTTTGGTAAACAATGAAGGAGAGAGAGAGGGAGATTCGAAAAAGAATTTTTGCAATCTAAGTATCCAATGAATATTTGTGTTTCAAATTATTTTGTGTCATACTGTTTTGATTTAAATTTTTAATTAACATATCTATCATAAAACAATAAAATCCTTTAATAAATCATTGCCAAATCATTCATAAATTGTAATTGTTCTTTAATACATTGACTTTTTTTTTTAAAAAAGATCTTCGAGAAATTAATTACAGCATTGAATGCTTATAATAAATCAGTGAAATTAATCAAAAATTAACATTAATATTTTAGTGTACTGGTGTTTTAAAATGTTTTAAACAAGATGTGTTTGTGAAACACTATGCGCCCGGCGGCAACAAAGTTCAAAGAATCTATTTTTAGCATATTGATCACAGTCAAGGTCACAAGGTCATTGACCATGGTGTCATTTGAAAGAACTTAATCGGTGGAGTATGCATACTAAATATGAAGTCCCTATCTCCTATGGTTCAAAAGTTATAGCAAAAAGTGTAAAGAGATATTTTTAGCATATAGGTCACAGTCAAGGTCACAAGATCATTGACCTTGCCGTCGTTTAAAAGGACTTTATCGGTGGAGTACGCATACCAAATATGAAGTCCCTATCTCCTGTGCTTCAAATGTTACGACAAACAGTGGAAAAAGCTATTTTCAGCATATAGGTCACAGTCAAGGTCACAAGGTCATTGACCATGGTGTCATTTGAAAGAACTTAATCGGTGGATTATGCATACCAAATATGATGTCCCTATATTCCATGGTTCAAATTAGTCATGGCAAAAAGTGTAAAAAGCTATTTTTAGCATATAGGTCACAGTCAAGGTCACAAGATCATTGACCTTGCTGTCGTTTGAAAGGACTTTATCGGTAGAGTATGCATACCAAATATGAAGTCCCTATCTCCTATGCTTCAAAAGTTATGACAAACAGTGGAAAAAGCTATTTTGAGCATATAGGTCACAGTCAAGGTCACAAGGTCATTGACCTTGATGTCATTTGAAAGGACTTTATTAGTGGAGTATGCATACCAAATATGAAGTCTCTATCTCTTATTGTTCAAAAGTTATGGATCTATCGATCCGGGCGCATAAAAAAAAGGTATATGGTAATTCTGTAATGTATCAATAAAATTTTATTTGTTAAAGTTGGAACCTAACACCCCTTCCTTCCTCCTGACCACCCATTGTTCTGCATACACTTCACTTCCATTCTTAGTACACCTCTAGCATATATGCTGCATTTTTTCTGAGAAGCTACAATAGTCATTTGTTGTAGGCTGTACCTTTTGAGACAAAGTATCAAAGATTTTCACATTCAAAAGCTATGACAGGAAACTAAACACTGCATTAAATTTAGCAACTAAGATGAAGTCACTAAAAAAATTATCATGTCAAGAACAGAAAAGAGAAAACACAAGTCATTCAGAAACCTGGGAGTTTTCTACTCTAGTTAAAATAACTGCAAATTATAAATTTAAAAAAAAAAAATTCTTTTTCCATATTCGAATCTAAAATGCAGAGGTAACTTTCGTTTCCTGTCCCTGACAACTGTCCTTAAGAGCATGTTTTCATTGATTTAAGAACTTATTTGGTAAAATATAGGAAAATATAAAGAAAACAGAGGTTGAAGCAAAGAAAGGGACAAAATGGCATCCTTTTTGTACTGTTTTAGTATTACATATTTGATTTTTATAACCAATTACATGCCGGGAGTAAGCCCCTGTGCACCTCAGGTATTCACCTCTATACAGTTGGTTGAGCTATAGCTGAATTAATTTCACACTTGATTAGCCTACATGCAAAATCAACAGACAGAGAAACAGATAGTAAATCAAAGTACTGAAAGTACTCATGGGAGTTGAACATGGTGTAAAATAAAATCTTTGATCGGGAGGTTGAGTGAACAATATTATTATTTCAAATACAGACAACTGTTTCAGATTTTTTGAGTTGCAACAATCTTAAGAAAGACATTCAGAGACATTGAATAGCAAAAAAAATGCATGGGCCATAATGCTTGCCTGCCTACATTAGTCCTTTTTTTTTATACCCCCTGCTTGAAAAGCGGGAGGGTATTTATTAATCGGGATTTCTGTCCATCTGTTTGTTACGCTTTACGCAACTCCTCTTACACCACTGAACGAAATTTTCATAGAATCTTTATTACATATTGCCGTTGTACACCTTCTATTACTTTTTCATCCTACACATATATTGGGTTTCCCATTGCAAAACATGAACACTGCCATTATAATGATATTAGAGGCGGTTGATCAATTATATAATTCACTGCTTACAGTCTTCAAATTTGCAATACATTTTTCCTTGGCACCTTTACCCATGTGTTATTAAAAAAAAATATCCTTCGTTTTGTTGTTTTTAATCGCGATTTTACGAAAACATGGGTGTCCGTTTTTGGTTCTAACAGAGGACTAGATTTGCCACATTTGGCAGGTGATACTGCTGATTTAGTAATAAATACGCAGGTTTCCTGAAGTTTTTATGCATTAATGAATTCATTTAAACCAAGAAAATGTTCATGAAAAATTTGAATAAATTCTGGGCTCCGGTAAAAAAGAAATTGCTAAAAATCTGGTACCGTCGGGCATCGGGAAGACTAGATTTACCGCATGCCGTCAGTATGTAGAGTTATCGTTCGTATCTCTTGCAGTGTATGACGCTACACTAAAATAGTTTCATTACGAAAAACTTTTGAGGTTTTTTATAATTTAGTTTTACTTTGAACGAAATCTAATATTCAAAATAAGATTACTTTATCATTACAGAATGACTGCACTGAAGCTATGAGAGTTGGATCCCGATGATTTGCACAAAATAAAATTCCAAAATTCATTAAATTTATGTTTTATATGTATTAAACAATATCTTAAGAGCAGGTTTTGGTATATTAAATTACATGAAAGTATTAAATAATGCCGAGCGACACTAGCTTTTGAGACGGGGGTCTAACAGTTTTTGTCTCATTTCTATTGTTATTCATATGCATACCAGTTTTCAACGACTTTGTTTACATCGAGCCGCAACTTGGCCATTTTTCTTTTTTGCACAGAATGTGTATTTTAACTTAAACTTTTACATATCCAAAGGACAATGTTGGCCAAGTTGCGGCTCATATCTAATTTTAAAAAAAAATGTCACCAAACTAGGGTCGAGATAGCGACTAGATTAACCGGTCACCTAGCATCAACGATTGATATTATAATCACCTTTCTCACGTGACCTTCTGCTGTTCGATACGCTAACGCTTTCATTGAAAATTTCATTGTGTTTAAGTCTCTGTTGTGACAGTATCTATCGTACTTCCAACTTAAACTATGGGAGATTTTTGCGCAAATTTTAATGGGGTTTGAAGATAATATGTCTCTTATTTAACTTTATGCTTTTCATTAGGGGTGTTTTGAAAGAATTCTGGTATTGACAGTGTCATTAGTAAGTATATGTATAGGCTTATGTCGCCTCTGTATTATAGTCTGCAGAGTGAGACATGTACCCCATCCCTTAACATTAGAATCATTTAATAACTGTGCACCATAAAATCAACATGATCTCTCTTTCTCTTTTCCATTTTAATTCGTAGTGCGAAAAAATCATATGTGCTAAATGTTTACATTCCACAACCATGCGGTTTAAATGTCTCCGCCTATTTGCGGATACCTTAGATTCGAAAGTGGTCCCGTTCAAATTTCCGGAATTTAAGGCTTTTACATGTTCTTTTCAATTACATTTCCTGTAATTATAGAAATATGTATGACAAAAAATTCTAGAAATAAATATCAAAAGCATATGCTTGCACATTAATCATAGATTAATTTAGCGATATATTGTAATTAGTGTTGGCAGATCGGACGATTTTTATTAACCGGTTACTCACTTAATCTTCCGATCGAGTACCCGGTTACTCGTATGATTTTATGTTATAGTTTCCGTATTTATTTAATCTCATCCTTTTATTTATTGGTAGAAATAAACAACAAATATAAGATATATGAACTTTATTTACAAATACAAATTCGAACAAGAAAAAAATCGTTGAGTCTTCTGCAAGTCACTGGTTATCGAATTATGTTTCAATCTAAAATCATTTAGCATATTTGTAGTTCCACCCATATACGACAAATCCGATTTACATAATTTGAATTTGGCAGATTTCGCCTTCTATAACAATACTTCCACGCTCTTGATAAAAGCGGCGGCATCTTCTTCATGTATATGTTTTATCCAACACAGGTCTATTAAAATTAGGTAATTATAACTCAGGTTTTCAAAATGCGTACCCCCTGGCAATTAAAGCCATCAATTAAACAAAACAAAACAAATTGATCCTATTTGTGAACCACTAGAGGAAGCCTAACGGTAATATAATTAGGGAAATGCGTCAATTTACATTTACAAATGACATAAAAATTATTTTATACATATTTTATATTATGAAATATGAAAAATGTATTTTTATCCGAGTAACCGAATAGCAGTTTTACTAACCGATACTCGCATCGTTCGACAGTTAACCGGTTAAGCGGGTACTCGTTGCCAACACTAATTGTAATGTTAAG